GGAATAAAGAGGATCAGGGCATACGCCAATGACTGCCAAGACTCGCCATCAGCAGTCATGGATATGCCACGAGCAGCGAGCTAACGTACATCGATGGCCGCTTCGAGGAGCTGTAGAACCTCCGCGATAGGGGCGGTGAGTCCGAATTGCGCGGCTATCGAGTGTTTGCCGAAGACGGTGGCCAGGAGCGCTTGGTGGACCCGCACAAACTGCAGAGCGATGAGTTTGGTATACTTTTTGTAGTAAGACCCAAGCTAACGTCAACCAAGGCCACGACAATCGCGTCACAAGCACCAGTGAGCGGCGGAGAGGCCGACATCAGAGAGACATCTGTGGTAATAGTGTTGACTATGGTGGTGAAGCCTTGAACACAGATCTGGGGGTGTTGAGGGTGATCAGTAATTGAAATTTACAACCTAGTTGAACCACACACCTGGAAGGCGGCCGTGATCTGGATAACAGTGGATGTAGAGCCGAGCGGAACGAGGGCGCTGTTGATGGTTGAAGAGACCGTAGTCAGTTGTCTGATGTTGGCGATAGCGTCGTTCGGTGTCATGGCAGCCAATGCGCCAGGTGAAAAGAGGATGCTAGAAGCAGCGAGAACGGTAGGAATGTAGAACTTCATTGTTGGGGAAGGCGGATGAACTGGGTGGGGTTGAACAGATTGGACGTATCCATTATATAGACTCCAACAGCTAGCCAACCATACTACTCGTTTTCCAATTCCTTAGGGCAAACACACGGCGTCGTGTACCAGACGGCGAGAATTCATCTTACAGGGTGGTACCATCAAATCCATGACAGGCCCCTCTCCCCGGAACCCCGAGTTCCTCGATTGGCCACAACTGCGACGATAGCGGATACTAAGCTCTCGAAGTAACCCCAGTACTCGATATGGCGAGCAATCCATGCGGTTTTACCATAGCAGAGATCGCCTCCGTCTTGGGTGAGTGGAGATATGGTTGTTCAGTGCTGCGCTGGTCCGGGCTGAACGTCGATGTGGTTTAACAACTGCTCTACGGTCGCACAGAGTAAGCAGTAATTTAAAACAGCGCTATGGGACCCCGACTAGCGGCCACACCTCCCCACTCAATTTCAAACAGTCCAAAGAGTAGGGGAGTTTAATTATAACATTGATCCGAGATATGACGGGCGATGCCCACACGCCCGTAACAGCTCTAAAATTCCTTTTCAAAGTTTCTTCTCAAGTCGTAATACAAAGGAGAGCTACGGAGCTACGCACCGGTGAAGTAGAAGTACAGACTTCTAAGCGAAGCAAAGATAATTAAATCAGTTGAGCGTAAGTATAACCATGATCCGAGGAATAATCAACTCAGCACAAGCCATGTAAGATCAGCTCTATGACATGCTCGGGACGCCGAGATCGCCGAAAAAATTTTGACTCAGCCCAGCTAAATATAGTATACGTCAGGTTAACACGATAGGGCTGCTCAAAACTTTGCATTCACTCGCCTCTTGCTTCAACCCCGGTGAAGTTCACGGACCGAAGAAGTGGATTCGACCCGTGTAAAGGGGACAGGGGCGGGGCCGAAAGCAGGTAGATGGGGCGGCTACGTTGTCCGCACCCCGATGTATTTGCAGCCCGAGAAGCCATAGAGGAGTGTTAAAGGTGCTACACTCTTTGCAGCCGCGCCGCATCAATACCGAGACATCAAAGTTTATCGGACAAAAGCGCCGACCGCGAAGCACGAATTCCAGGTGGTTCGGATCGCTGATGAGGGGCTCAAACTGGGGACGCGGAGAGCAAAGATAAGAGCGCGGATTGCGCCGCGGGATCCACATGCATTACACGAGATGTTAATACGTCGAACAAACTACGATTCGGAGTAATTCAAGAACCAATACGTCGGTCTTTCCCCAAAGAAAACTGCTAGATCACTACCTCGGACATCTCAGATTCTGCGAATCCACCGAGTTCCGCCCATCCTTCCAATTTTTCTTTTTTTCTCTATTTTTATGGCCTGCCCCTAGCAGCCCGTTCCAGCAGCCCGACATTTACGTGCTGTGCCATCCACGGATGCGACCTCGTCAAAAATGGCTTCTGTGCTCATCCTCTGTGACTACGATTTCTCGTGGATGGCACAGCACGTAAATGTCGGGCTGCTGGAACGGGCTGCTAGGGGCAGGCCATAAAAATAGAGAAAAAAAGAAAAATTGGAAGGATGGGCGGAACTCGGTGGATTCGCAGAATCTGAGATGTCCGAGGTAGTGATCTAGCAGTTTTCTTTGGGGAAAGACCGACGTATTGGTTCTTGAATTACTCCGAATCGTAGTTTGTTCGACGTATTAACATCTCGTGTAATGCATGTGGATCCCGCGGCGCAATCCGCGCTCTTATCTTTGCTCTCCGCGTCCCCAGTTTGAGCCCCTCATCAGCGATCCGAACCACCTGGAATTCGTGCTTCGCGGTCGGCGCTTTTGTCCGATAAACTTTGATGTCTCGGTATTGATGCGGCGCGGCTGCAAAGAGTGTAGCACCTTTAACACTCCTCTATGGCTTCTCGGGCTGCAAATACATCGGGGTGCGGACAACGTAGCCGCCCCATCTACCTGCTTTCGGCCCCGCCCCTGTCCCCTTTACACGGGTCGAATCCACTTCTTCGGTCCGTGAACTTCACCGGGGTTGAAGCAAGAGGCGAGTGAATGCAAAGTTTTGAGCAGCCCTATCGTGTTAACCTGACGTATACTATATTTAGCTGGGCTGAGTCAAAATTTTTTCGGCGATCTCGGCGTCCCGAGCATGTCATAGAGCTGATCTTACATGGCTTGTGCTGAGTTGATTATTCCTCGGATCATGGTTATACTTACGCTCAACTGATTTAATTATCTTTGCTTCGCTTAGAAGTCTGTACTTCTACTTCACCGGTGCGTAGCTCCGTAGCTCTCCTTTGTATTACGACTTGAGAAGAAACTTTGAAAAGGAATTTTAGAGCTGTTACGGGCGTGTGGGCATCGCCCGTCATATCTCGGATCAATGTTATAATTAAACTCCCCTACTCTTTGGACTGTTTGAAATTGAGTGGGGAGGTGTGGCCGCTAGTCGGGGTCCCATAGCGCTGTTTTAAATTACTGCTTACTCTGTGCGACCGTAGAGCAGTTGTTAAACCACATCGACGTTCAGCCCGGACCAGCGCAGCACTGAACAACCATATCTCCACTCACCCAAGACGGAGGCGATCTCTGCTATGGTAAAACCGCATGGATTGCTCGCCATATCGAGTACTGGGGTTACTTCGAGAGCTTAGTATCCGCTATCGTCGCAGTTGTGGCCAATCGAGGAACTCGGGGTTCCGGGGAGAGGGGCCTGTCATGGATTTGATGGTACCACCCTGTAAGATGAATTCTCGCCGTCTGGTACACGACGCCGTGTGTTTGCCCTAAGGAATTGGAAAACGAGTAGTATGGTTGGCTAGCTGTTGGAGTCTATATAATGGATACGTCCAATCTGTTCAACCCCACCCAGTTCATCCGCCTTCCCCAACAATGAAGTTCTACATTCCTACCGTTCTCGCTGCTTCTAGCATCCTCTTTTCACCTGGCGCATTGGCTGCCATGACACCGAACGACGCTATCGCCAACATCAGACAACTGACTACGGTCTCTTCAACCATCAACAGCGCCCTCGTTCCGCTCGGCTCTACATCCACTGTTATCCAGATCACGGCCGCCTTCCAGGTGTGTGGTTCAACTAGGTTGTAAATTTCAATTACTGATCACCCTCAACACCCCCAGATCTGTGTTCAAGGCTTCACCACCATAGTCAACACTATTACCACAGATGTCTCTCTGATGTCGGCCTCTCCGCCGCTCACTGGTGCTTGTGACGCGATTGTCGTGGCCTTGGTTGACGTTAGCTTGGGTCTTACTACAAAAAGTATACCAAACTCATCGCTCTGCAGTTTGTGCGGGTCCACCAAGCGCTCCTGGCCACCGTCTTCGGCAAACACTCGATAGCCGCGCAATTCGGACTCACCGCCCCTATCGCGGAGGTTCTACAGCTCCTCGAAGCGGCCATCGATGTACGTTAGCTCGCTGCTCGTGGCATATCCATGACTGCTGATGGCGAGTCTTGGCAGTCATTGGCGTATGCCCTGATCCTCTTTATTCCGTGCGCCAAAGATACCGTGGTGATGGGCCAGACTCAGTTGGATGCATCGGTTCAGACCTCGATCACTCTCTATCAGCAGATCTGCATCCCCAGCCTACTCTACCCTTACCTTCCCCCTATCTGTGTTGCTCTCTAACACGTCCCTTTACACAAGCGGAGCACGATAATCGTAGTACACCGGACACTATTTGATCGAGATTGAACCATATGTTTGCGTTTTGCGTTTTGACACTGTGCTGGAGTCTACCATTCGGCTCATTCTTTATTGTACCTGGGTGACCGACACCCATCTTTTCTCCTTTGCCTGGAGTGCAATACGCGTGTCCAGTCTGTGACACAACGTAGAATGAAGGGATTGTTATTCGTTCCATATCCCTCGCGGAAGCCGTTCTGATAGTCTGGGATGAGTCCGCGTGAAGTCGCCCAGTCCGTAATGTATTTGTGGATTAACAACGTCAAGATTTTCAGGACACAGCTTTCCAGGGCAATTATCCTGTACCTGTCCGGGTCCCAGTTTATCTTTTCCTTCTTCAGAAGACCAATTATGACCGTTCTGAACCACGTTGAAGGCCCGTCTTGGCGTCGAATGCATTAAAATCGCTGGGTGAACCAGGGAATTAATTTAAATCAACATCTGCCTGGCTCTCCCTGCTTCCAAAAAGAATCCTAGATCGCTGTATGATATCCCTGGATTGTTTTGTGACGGTATCGCTTTTTTTTTTCGGTGTGTCACAGTCCAACCTGGGTCATGTCGAAGTGTCAAATATGTCACGCGCGTTGAATTGAATGTAATAATACAGTATTGCGAATCGTGATTCGTCTTCAAGAGGAAAAGTCGGAGTGAGGAACAAATCTTTTTGAACATATGCATGGGTGTGTGGTGTAGTGGTATCACTCATGCTTTGCAGACATGATCGATCTCTGAGATTCACCCTCAACTTCCTTGTATGCGGTCCAGGGTTCAAACCCCTGCGCGTCCAAATATTTTTCTGCCTTGGTTTTATTTTTCGTCGAAGAGCCAGGGAGCGAGAAGGGGGGGAGTCTTTCATCTTAAAACGCTCCCCACTTTATTTGTATGAAAGCAATAGGTAGGATCTGGAGGATTGCCGCAAAGATTTTGTGATGTGGTTAGGATAAAAAGGTAAACAGAAGTACTTATGAGGGCCCACGAAGAGTGAGGTTTTGGACCGCAATGAAGAAAGCCTGTGGAGCTCAGGCACGGAGGGAGTTATGCAGTTACGTGCAAACTTCAGTAAGAATGAAATATAACGATCAACGACCCAGAGCCAGCCGTGATTTGCTGTGAGGGGGTTTTTGAGTTAAAGCTAGAAGCGAAGATGCAGGGATGATTTTTGCAGAAATGGTTGACGCCCAGAAATGGGGGTTGCTGAACAATAACTTCACATGGAACTGTGGGTCGGGAATATTGAGCGAGAGGAGAGATTCGCGTGTCAACGAGGCGGAGGCTCTGGGAGTGTTGTTCGAGGGAAAGAACGTGTGTGATACTGAATCGAGGAGAAGGGTACTGGGTTAGTTTGGTGTGAGGTTAGAGCTATCACTAAAGCGAGCGGAAACACAATTTAGGGTGTGATACTTTGATTTGAACGTCGAGCCGCGAGAAAGGAAACTAGAGCTACGGTGAGCGATGTATGTGCGCAGAGTCGGTCAGCGAGCCAGCTTGGAGAACGCAGGATGGGCGGGGGGTCGGGCAGGAGAAACGCCGATTTCAGGAGGGCGGGACGAAATTGGGAGCTTCGAGGAGCAGGTAAGTCCGGAGCTCCGAGCGCAACATAAGGGAGGTATTTGAGGTCAAAACGTTCAGCAAGCTGTGCTCCAGTATGAAGGGTCCGAGCTTCGAATTGCCGGTTGTACTTTGGGCACGAGAAGATGGATCAGTGAGAGAAGAACGGTATCGCATATCCAGCACTGGTCCACTGGAGTGTCAAGGGATATATGACACCGGGGCTTGGAGGCAGATGGGTGTTGGGGCGGGGACCTTCGATTGTCCGAGAGCTTCCCACGAGTCGAATGTTTGACGAGGCAAATGCACACTTATACCGACCACGGCATGGGCGCCCCGAAACAGAAGATGAAGGAAGGAGAGGGGGAGAAGATCCGGATCGCACCGCCACTGATGGTACTGATGGCGGCTTGATGCGGCACGCGGCAAGCGTCCTCCTTTCAAAAGTTCTTCCAAGTTGCCTCTCATTCTTTCTTGAGATGGAGATAATGCTCAGCGCTGCTGGCTCACGTTCGAGTCCGAAGATCAATCATGCAACGGAGGTTCTTGAGCGTGTGAACTTCCAGGCGCAAACCGGCCCGATTCGAACCAGCCCCTAGAAGAAGCAGCCAGAAGCACGCCAGGAAAACGTGTTCAAAGATGATCGGTGTCATTGACATATATTGACATGAAGCCGTAGTGGATTGGGCGCGATTGCCGATATTTCAACGCTGAACTTTTACGTTACGTTCGTTTTCCGGATTCTCCAAATTCAACTTCGAGTCCACAATGAACTTTGAAATGTGAATCTGAGTCATCAAAAGCTGAACATGAGGCAGCAGCGTGTGTACGCTGGATCGTTCGGGCCGGATCTGAGTCTTCTCGTCCGCAGCTACGCCCCCACGGCACTCTTCTACGCCCTCTCCATAACCCCACTCAGCGATCCACCCCCTGCCAACCCCCTGCTCTCAATAGCCATGGCGGAGTACTCGTATCGATATGCACTTGGACCTCACCTCGACGACACCACAGACTCAGAGGCCGACAGGTGTGACCACCCTTCCCTGCACCCCGCATGCGCTAACGTCTCTTCAGCCCAGTGATCGAGCCCATCGAACATCCCGAACTCGAGGGAGAGATCGCGCAGATACAGGATCTCGAGGAAGAGCCAGAGGAAGAGTCAGAGGTATATGCGTACACGATGCGGGTGAACACGCACTGACAGTCTCCAAGGAGCCGCCGGCCCTTGAACAAGATACACCGGAGGGGCTCGAGGACGCCCTGGAGGCATTACGTCTCGAAGTGTTGGAAGACATACCCCCCGAGGATCGATTGGATTCCGAGATGTGAGGCGGCACGCGTGGGGTCGCTGGGGCATGCCCCTTTCAGTGAGTCGCGTGGGTCCACCACCGCCAGTGTGATCGAGTGAAGGATTTGAGGTGGCGACCATAATTCTACGACAACACCTATTTTATTTATCGATTTGGAAGAGGGAGGTCGATGAGGGTATTTACTATATATTATGCCGCGAAATATAATCCCTGAGAAATAATGAGATTTCGTCGTAATTTCTCTCCCTCAATTATGTTGCCTGAAACTTTGCCATTCTGTCTCTGGTCTCTGGATTGTTCTCATCTCCTTCGCGGTCATGGTGCCTTGGGCGGGGACTATCCGCAACATATGATTTGAGATCATCTGTTTTGGAAAGCAAATGCGAACAGCCGGCCCAGTAGATATAGTCAACACAGCTAAAGTATCATCAGGAGCAGGTGTTTTATTCGAAAGTACAACGCTGTTTCCGCGACGCGACCATCATGTCTCTTTGTGAGTATATTTGATGAATGATAACTTATTCCCGAGATTGAAAGCCAGTAAGTGTTATTTGAGATTTAGGGGTTCCAGAAATGCAAGAATAGGTTTGCCGCAGTGCTGTGTGAACGAAATGAAGCAATCGCTCACTGCGATCATTTGCTAAATGGAAGAGGTAACCCTTAACCATGGCGCGAATTATCAGCGAGGACTGTGGGATGTAATCCAACATCCTTGCGATTACTTTTAAATGGCTATTTCACTCACACCTGGGGTAATATGGGGTAATATTCCTTGGGACTTTCGTATTGTTCAAGGCCGTCCAGAATGATGACATTGATGTCGATCATGCCGAAATCCACAAACGGGAGGCACTCAGTTTTCTGAGAGTCACAGAACGGGATCGACCACAGTTCCTCCTAAAGCATGGAGAGTGATTGTTTTATCCATGCGATTAACGCTGTAGTCAAAAACCTGCAGATTTAAACCATGTGGAAGGTAAATATAAACCCTACTATCACGTGCTGGGAAGCTGGCCACACGGGGAAGCTGGCCACTTGCCAAATATAAGGACGAATACTAATGAATATTGAGGGCTCGGACTCGGGGGAAAAAGTAGGACCTCTGACGTCCATATATGCTAAATTTGGACGCAAAATAATGAGTTGATCGAAAGTTGTGGCGCTTTTGATTGTGGGCCGAAGGGTGAGAAAATCATTTTCTCAACTCCGAATGGCTATTTCGCTTTAGGTTCGGAGCAAGCCTGTCTCCGGTCCGGCGAGCCGGACAATCTCGGAGAGAGGCTTGGGACAAACTAATCAAAATAGCGAGGACCTTTGAATATGTTTTGCGATGTCACCTCTTCTTTCTTTCTCAAATCTAAGCAGCCAAATCATATCTTATATGCCTAAAAATGATATGGCTATGATTCCAGATTTTATTACCCAAACATTGTGCCTCATAGACGCAATCGCGCGTCACTCGTGTCAAACCAATTCGACCTAGTGCGGGAATCTGAGTGTTCTGGACTGTGGATTTTATGGCCTCTATTGAAAGTAATATCAAAATTGAGAACTTCTGCCTCTTCAGAATTGTTCTGAGGCTGTGTGGAAGCCATCGAATAAGATGTAAAAAGTTGCGAGCTTTTGCCGATCATTCCCAAAACGGAAATACGACCGACGGATTCAAGCGAGTCAGATTTTGCCTTGGTGTACCCTCGTCTTGCGCAATTTAAGCCATTCAACGAAAGGAAGTGGAGTTTGGATAGAAACTGAAGGATATTACCAGCTCTGATTCTCAACTTGGGCCTGGAGAATGGCATTATGGGTGGACTCAGATTTTGAAGAGTGTTCACATCAGAGCCATTCTACACTTTATTTGGGTCTACTGTGAAAAATGCGAGCCAGCCAAAGTCTAAGTTGACTAAAAAATGAAATTAAACCGGCAACAATGGATTTGCGCGAGTGGCCAAGTACCGTGTCAATTGCCTATCTGGGAGTTCTGACCGAAATAAATTCGCGACACAGTCAAAACATCACTAAAATTGGCACAAGTGGGCTTCACTTGTTCACAGGATGTATGCCTTCCATTTGAAGCCCTCGGGCGCTTTGAAAGACCATCAATGAATTAATAATGACCGAAAATAGCTAAGGTGGTCAGGTTTCCGGCGGTTGATAGTAGTACACTGGAGTTGACCCGGTTCAGGTTGTTTCAAATATACTTCCTGAATATGGTATCTGAAAGGGAGAAAATTTCACACCACCTGATTCAAGACTTGCAGAAACTCATGAGCGCAAGTTTATGGGTTTGCCGCCGGATGCCGGGAGATCAACTGATAAGACCAATACTGGCGATCATTTGCCACAAGTAAGTTATTGAGGTGTATAAAGTATGCATGTTTCTTCTGATTTATCAGACAACAAGATGGCAAGCTTGAACAATAGTCATCCCAGTGTCGTTATCAATTCCGCGCTCCCGTTACATTCTATGCACTATCCAATGCTCGAATATTCCCCCTCGGAGTCGCTGCCTTTCCGGTCCTCATGTGCGAATGATAAATGTGCGGCTCGGTGGTTTGATGGTGTTGTTATTCGATCCTTTCGGGCTGACCACACTATGTAATCCACCCCTTAAGCGCATTGGCAATTTGCCAGTTCTTTAATAAGAAAACCCACCTACAAAGGCACCGGATCAGTGATCGTTTTGAAAGGCTAAGTGCGGACTGGGTGCGCAGGTATGAGTGGGGAACAATGATGAGTTTGCTGTGCTCTCGGATTTACCAGGCCCACACGGCCTAAGTAGTAACCATGCACGCCATCTGGGACGTTTGGCAGGTTCGAGTGCGGGAAAATCGCCCTTGAGCTGGCGGCGCCGCCCACACATATGCAAACGGAGGGTGGAGAACGTAGTTCCGAGAGTTCATCAGGGGGCGAGTGGTACGGGGTTTTGTGG